TGTCCTCATTTGTAAGTCGCTTTGGATAAAAGTGTCTCCTAAATGACTAAATGTAAAATTAAGACATGAAAGAGAACTCAATTTGAGAAGCGTGCAATTGACGAAAGCTTTAGACTTAAAAAGACGTGCAAATGATAAACATTTGTGACGATTAGGCAATTGTCAACTGTCCCGAAAGCGTTGTATCGCAGCGTGTAGCAGCTCTTGTAGTGTCTTGTAATTTCCATGACTTTTCCCAAAACTTTTCTAGGCCTGGAAATTGCCATTTTAAAATGGCATGCTTTGGAATGTAGTGAAGTAAAAGTTTGCTAAAGGACAGATACCTGAAAAATGTACTTAAGTACAGTAGCAGAGTAAAAATCCTACATTAACTTCACAATACTTCCAGCACTACTAGTGCAATACTTTCTTGTGTCTTGGAGGACGTTTTATGTTTTGCATTTTCATACTGCTCGACTTCTCATTGTGATAACTGCTGAGAGTTCAACAGAGTACGGACACGGATACTCACAGTCCGTTGGCGAAGTCGTTCATCAGTGAGGTCAGGCTGGTGAAGGTCAGGATGGGGATCAGAGCGAACGGCAGCTGTTCAACACAAAGAGCATGAGATCAGAAGATCTGCTGGGGTTCAGCAGCGGCTCCACGGCGTCACACACGAGTACCTGCATGCTCTGCAGCACGTTCAGGAAGTCGTTCATGCCGGTGAGATGCTGCACATCCTCGAAGACGGCCACCAGGAGCGTGGGGAAGATGGCGATGGAGCGCGTCAGCAGCACGCGAGCGAAGCGCGACCAGCGCAGGTTCAGGAAACCCTGGGGAGCCGGGAACAGGGACGCTTTCAAACACACCCAAACACAGTGCCATCCTGTGAACCAAAAGGTCTGCAGATCCACATACCTCCATCACAAACTGACCAGAGTAGGTTCCTGTCATGGTTGAACTCTGTCCAGCGGCGAGGATCCCAATGGCCCAAATATACAGCGCAGCCGGGCCAAAAAAACAGCCCAGAACCACTCCCTTCAATCACAAAAGAAACCGCTTCATTCATTCACAAGCACACAAAGTTCATATGAATGACATGGATATTCGATCGAATATTACATTTGCAGTGATGACTTTAA